CAGGCAAGCTGGGCCTGGATGGGTTCTTCCAGGTACACCTTGGAATTACCGCAGGCTTTGAATGTTAGAGCGGGAGGAAGAAGGTGATCCCAGTGGGAGTCTTCTCTTCGACTTGGAAGCCTGGGAGAAGTCTGTCCCAAGCGGTGAGACTCTGCCTATAATGGGGATCTCTGGGAAGGGATGGATTAACACAGGGGTGCTGGCCGGAAGGGTTCCTGCCCCCTCTCCCAGCATACTATGATCTTTGGCTTCTGTTAGCAGTTGGGTTGGTGGACAGCCTGTTGTGTTAGGTTGAATTATATGAAATACTGACTTTTTCATCTTTTTAATTGTTTTATTAGCTATAACATGATCTTTAACTGAGGTTGTTATCTCCCTGCTTCTTTACCTAGATGTTAACAAGATGGCGTTTTGCCTTCTGCTCAGTGTGTGGTCAAGGGGCCACCAACTGTCAGAACATCTGGGAATTCCTTAGAAAAGCAGTGTCTTGAGCCCCACCTGCACAGGGTTGCATTTGCATTCTTACAAATTCCTAGAGATAGGAACCCACATTCAGGTCTCAGGGGCCCTCATAGCAGATACCTCTGGGTGGTCCAAAGAGCCCTGTTTTGTCTGGCTGTTCTCTGCTCCACTTGAGGGTACGTGACCCGCACGTGAGAGACAGGCTTGGCCAGACCATAGGAGGCCCGGCCTATCAGCAGCAAGAGCAGGGAACGGAGAGGATCTGCGTGGAAAGGAGGAGGGCAGGTTGGAGCCAGGTGAGAGACTAGAGGAAGAGAAGGTGGCGTCTGGGTTGGAGGCCCTTCAGGAAGAGCCGTCAAGGGACTTGGCAATTTACAGTGTGTGTGTGTGTGTGTGTGTGTGTGTGTGTGTGTGTGTGTAGTGAGGAACCATCAAGGGAGGCTCCAGGGCACGGAAACTCCAGGAGCAACAGAAGAGTCCAGGAGGCAGCTCTGTAGTGGCCGGGGGGTCTTGTCCTACCTGTTGGGATGTAGGACAATATGTATGTGGGTATCCAGAGGGAACGGGAAGATGATGGGAGCTGCGCCAGTTCACGCGCTGACCAAGCTACAGCACCGCTCCTCCCCCACCTGGCTCCGCCCCCAGGTCTCTGCGCAAGGCAGTTAGAGTCCTGTCCTGGCTGCCTCTGCTCTTCTCCAGCCAGGTACTGCGTGGTGCCTCTCCCAAGCTCTCTGACTATTCACAGCATGCATGGGCAGGGATGGCCCTTGGGGAGAGGGGTTTGCGGCTTGCCTTGCAGTGTGTTATGGTTTGTGTCTAGTTGTTTCCCCAAAAGCCTCACGCAGTCATGGGGTAGACTTCTAGAGTTTGTGATTAACTCATGTTTTTCTGGGATTATGGGTGTGAGTGCTGCTGGGATTATGGATGTGAGTGCTCCCCCCTGGCCTGAGGTGGATAGCCTGCACACAACTTAAGGGAGAGGGACTTGATCTCTGTGGCCATTGTTTCTGCTACTCCTCCCACTGGCTCTTGATGTTTTTACTCTTTGCTGCCACCATGAACTGCTGCCCTCTGCCATGTGCCACTCTGCCTTGGAGCCAGCTGAATACAGACTGAAACCTCCACTCACTGTGAGCTAAATAAACTTTTCCTTCCCTAATTTTGAATGTTGGGTATTTGTCCCAGCAATGAGAGAAGAGTCACTGAGACACCATGACGTGGTCTGGGGAGCATCACTGTGCAAATCACAGCCTTGTGGGGGAAAAGCGTCAGAAGGGCAGGTGGATTCTGCCAGCAGTGCCCATGGATCTTCCTGCCATTTACAGACAGCATGTTTAATGGCAGACTCTACAGAGCCAGAATTTGGAAAAACTTTGATGGGTCCTAAGGTCTAGTATCTGAGCCTCAGCATTGTAACTGAATGTAATCAAAGTGTCTGGCATGAAATATTAGGTGATTGAAAGTGATTATTTAACCTTCTGAGTAAGTGTGAGGGGCCATGAAGACCGCAGGGATAAGGCGGAAACTGCTCTGAGCAAACCCCAGGGGGCTGAGGATGACATTTGAATTAAACACTGAGTTTAGCTATTCATTAAAGAGATGCCCTGAGGGCTTCTGAGAGCCTAGTCAGAGTTATGATCCATAAGAGCTAAACCTGGATTACTGAAAATTATATTATAATCTTGACTTTTTATTAATTTTGGAGGAGTGTCCTCTTAGTGCTTTCTAAATGCAAGACAGATAAAGGGTGGTCTTAGAGGAAGAAATAAGATAATGGAAGAAATGGAAAATAAGATCACAGCAGGGGCGGAGATCCAATCATTCTCAGTATGGAAGCACTCTGTGACCAGATGTCACTTGCTCTTTTGTTGCATGAGTTTGGGCTTTGTGCTCTCATCCTGGAAGCATTCTCTTGCTCCTAGCCTTTAGCCTGGGCTGGGATTTATTGGCTCAGTAAGGCATGGAGGGCCACGTATATGCCACGGCTAACTGCAATAACACTTGATGAAGTCCTTGCTCTCCTCCACATGGTTCTGGACAGTTGTGACATAGTCAGGGACCACCACAGGCTGGAGGAACAGGCAGAATCCTGGGCCCTTTCCTGCTGTTCATTAGAAACATGACTTATGTTTTCTCCTGGGACATCTAGGACTTTAAAGCCATTTTGTTATGAGCCATAACT